TTTCTGCATGTTTTTTATCCATGGAGTAACTAATTTGAGATCAATTCTTTTGTAGTACAAATACTCTTTATTTTTATTATTTATTTCTTTATAAATTATTATTGTCTTATTGTTAATACTTAAAAAGAAATCTTATTATAAAAGAAGTAGTTTATAGGTCTAAGAATACCTCGCGTGTGCGTGTGCGTGTGTGTGCGTGTGCGTGTGTGTGTTTTGTGTGTGTGTGTGTGTGTGTGTGTGTGTGTGTGTGTGTGTGTGTGTGTGTGGGTGTGTGTATAATATAAATTTTTATGCATGTTATATTTTGTCGTGGATGATTGGTGTACATACAACATTCAAATTATTTTGATTATCATAACTAAAACATAAAGTTGTATAATAAATGTAAAATTATTTATTAGATATATATCGAAATTTTTTTATAAAACAAAAGAATAAGCAATCGATTTTTTTGATAGAATAGTAAATAAATAGAGAATTGGATTTATAAAGGCATTTAATATAATTAAAGAAGTATGTTGTACAAAAAGTAAAATTTGTGAATGATGCATAGCGATTTATCAATTTGCACTTCTATTAATGAAAGTAATTAATTTTAAATTATTTTTCTGGTATAAATTTTATATAACCAAACAAAAATCGCGCGAAAAGATTTTTAATTCAATATCTTAATAACTTATAATATTTTCTGTTATACATGTATATGTTATATATACATATATAAAATTTATACCATTTAATAATTAATTTTCTGATTAATTGATGATAATTTCTTTAATGACGATATGCAGCTGGTAGTATTTCACTATTATTTTAATTTTGAATATATTAAATGTTAGATCAGTTAAATTAATTCGTATGAAAATTATAATGGCGTTTAAGTTTAGTTTAGGCAGATTCATATTGAAACAGTCAATGCAGGAATATTTTTATTTCTATGCGTTCAAATTTTAAAATATTAAAATTTTGTAAAAACTAATTATGATTAATTTATTTAATCTTAAATATATATACAATATATATGCATTTAAATTTACTAACTATAATAATAATGATCGTTGTTATTTTTCTTTTTTTATTCGTTTCTTATCCTGCTTTTTGCACTAACAGTATATTTAAGTCGCTATGCTCCAAGAACACCTACGACCCCTCAAAGACACTTGTTATTTCATTCACAATCACTCTCACCCGCTATAACTCGCGATAGAAGCATTTGTCCCTCACCTACTCCAATGTTTCAACATCTTTGTCACGCAGTTGCGTATTGGGAAAAATTTTTACTTGATCGATCTCCCACACCTGGCACAGATCAGGAAAACATTGCGTCTTCAATTCCTAATGAAGAATCAGATGGTGGTGATGCTCAACCGTCTGGATCTTCATGTTTTGCTTCTGCATTTCATCCACCAGTTTCCCCAGCACATCGCATGATTGTTCCTTCTATACGTGTCTTAGAGTATGATACCCGTCAAGTAGTAACGCTAGATCCTGTGTACCCCTCGCATACAGACCTGGACGATATTAGTCAGCCGGAGAATGGAGTAGTAGCTGATGCTGATGCTGAAATCAGTGCCTCGGACAGTGAATCTGAAGCATCAGCCAAAGAAGATCAATCGGAGTCAATCACCGAAACACCATACGTAGCTAATGAAAATGAAATTCTTGGAACGGTAAGCAGTAACTCCGCACAATACAATTCTTAATTAGAATATATGTTTATAACAAAATATTTACAATTCATAGAACTTTTTTTATAAAAGTTTTTCTGAATTACTTCGATTTATCATGAATATATAATTTTATACTACATTTATTTCCTGTAGTTATTATACTGTTATCAATTAATAGGCCGGTGAAGTCGTTACAGAATTACAAGAAGAACAAAAGTCTCTGATATGGTTCTTAATGAAACAAGTTCGTCCTGGCATGGATCTGTCTAAAGTTGTATTGCCGACTTTCATTCTGGAATCACGGTCATTTCTGGAAAAACTGGCCGATTCATATTATCATGCCGATTTATTATCTCAGTTAGTAAAATGTAGTAATATAATACATTAGTAATATAATAATGATTTTTAATACATTATGATTTTCTTAACACATACAATAAAGGAATATAATTTCTAAATTTTATTTCATTTTACAGAGCAGTATTAGAAGATGATGCATTTACACGTATGAAAGCCGTAGTGAAATGGTATTTATCGGGATTTTACAAAAAACCACAAGGCTTGAAAAAGCCATACAATCCGCTTTTGGGCGAAACATTTCGCTGTTATTGGCAACATCCTAATGGTTCAAGAACATTCTATTTAGCCGAACAAGTATGATTCAGAAGATAGTAAATTAATTATTGATTAATTAAATTAGATTTTGTGTGTGTGCGTGCGTGCGTGCGTGTGTATGTGTGTGCGTGTGCATGTGTAGTTAATTATTCATTATTTTTTTATGAAAAAGTACCGTGTTTGGTATTAACAAATATATTTAAAATTTTCTTGCTAGTTATCGCATCATCCACCTATCTCAGGATTTTATGTGACAAATCGCCAAGATGGATTTACTATTAGCGCTACTATCATTGCAAAATCTAAATTTTATGGTAATTTGTTTATTATTTAATATAGACTATAGTAATATTGATATATACTTCTAGAGCCGGTGTATATAGCGATAACGTTATTTATAATATACATGTCTTATAGGAAATTCAACCTCTGCAGTTTTGGATGGTATCGCTATATTGACGATGTTGCCGAGAGGTGAAGATTATACAATGACAATTCCTTATGCACATTGCAAAGGCATTCTTATGGGGACATTATCTATGGAACTCGGTGGAAAAGTGAACATAATATGCGAGAAGACCGGTTATCACACAGAATTAGAATTTAAACTTAAAGTAATACTCATAATATATTTGGTTTTTTTTTACACAATTACCAATATTATTAATAAAATTGCGATTTATTTTAAAGGTATAACGAAAACTTAATTTATCTCTTATATTATAATAAGGTTTAATTATATTAATTTGACTAAATAATGTTAATATAATTAAAAATGTTACAATAATATATTTTAGCCGTTTCTTGGCGGTGCGGAATTAATGAATCAAGTTGTGGGACGAATACGCCTAGGAAAGGAAACTTTGGCTACTATTATGGGATACTGGGATGGATTAATTTTAATAACAGATAAACGGACAGGGGTAAAGTAAACTTAAATCTTAATTGATAATTTTAGATAACTATTAACATAATGTTTTATTTTACAGCAAGAAAACATTTTCTTCAATCCTACTCCGGAAATACGCAAAAAAAGATTGAAAAAATATACTGTTCCTTTGGAACATCAGGGAGCATGGGAAAGTGAAAAATTGTGGTTGGCTGTTACACAAGCTATTAATAGGGACGACCAGGTTGCCGCTACTGACGCTAAAACTCGACTCGAGGAAGCACAAAGAGAACGCGCTAAAGAACGAAAGAGTCTAAGACAAGAATGGATTCCAAAATACTTCGTTCAAGTACGCTATACATCATTTTCATATTTAATGTTTATGTTTATATATTGTCAAATATTTATCGGATATTAATATTTGCAAAATAATTTTCAATTTTTTTGTGATTTCATTAGGATATTATAACTGGAAATTGGGTTTATCGGCATGCTGATATAAGACCATGGGATCCGAGAAACGATGTAGTACAATATGAAGAAAATTATGTAGTGCGCACAAAGACCAGGCATAAAACACCTATTATGCGTACTGGTAGTATTGTTTCTACTGAACCCCAATCACAGGTACAGCGATGTAAGATGTAGTTCGCACTATGCATGCTGTTTTAATATTTGTACACATTTGTATAAGTAATAATTACATTAACCGCTTTATGTGTCTATTTTATTCTTTTTCCGGCACTACCATTGAACAACTGCATGTTATACAGTTTTATTCTATTTGCTATCGATGGATTTAACTAGATTGTATACAGCTCTGATATTTTTAATAAACTTGTTTCGCTTGACTTGTAATTTACATTGGTATTAATATTAATTAGGTTATTCTATTTATTATTCTATACATATATATATATATATATATATATATATATATGTGTGTATGTATGTGCGTGTATAATATATATATATATTCTAGGTTATTCTATTTATTAATCAAAGTAATATTATTTTTGCGTAATCATTTATTGATCCTAAAATTCTATCTTATGATTAATGTAAACTATATAAATTTAAAATTATTACACATTCAAAGTAAGTTTCAAATATATATCTTAGAAAATTATAATACAAATTCATACTTAATATAATATATAATTTTCCACATTTAAATTTTTATAATTTTGAACATACATGCATACATGTATTTGCTATTTGTGCTTTAATTAACATATATGTTCACTAATCTAGAAAGCATTTTATCAGTTAGTTTGAGCACAATTTCTAACAAAAAGACATAATTTAAAAAATGAATTAAAAGATTTCTAAGATTAGATTTCAAGCTTAAGAGACATTGTTCATACATATTTAACTCTGATTAATCATAATCTAGATTACAAATCATTGCAGATTCCATTATTACAAGCTGAATCACGTTCCTCCTTATCAGTGCTCAAATCTTCTAAGAGGCAGCTATCAAATAATATGCCTTTAACAGAGGCTCATGATTCTGGAAGTTCATCTGCGGAAGCACATACGGATTCTAGTCAATCGTTAGGAAAAAGAAAACGTTCAACCACTAGGTAAGAACATTAAAATGTAAATATTATTAATTATTAACTACATAATGCATACAAAATTTAAAAATAATGTTGAGTGTGTGTGTGTGTGTGTGTGTGTATATATATATAATATGTATATGTGTGTGTGTATGTATGTATTTAAATATATTCATTTTAGGTTAATAGACATAATGAAACAAGTTGAGCATCAAATGATAGAACATGGTGAGAAATTGAATCGTATACAACAAATTGTAGAACAAGTTGTAAGAAAGCAAAGAGAATCTGGTGAACAGCATCACAACATAAATATGTTCAAGAGTTTCGTGGATACTATACTTATTATTGTTATCGTTTTTTCTGTGCAATATTTTTTAAACATATGGTATAATGATCCAACTAAAGATTGAGGGATTTTAAGGTTGTTCTCTCTTTATCTTTTGTCACACTGTATTTGAATTGTATGTATCACTTGTCCTATCTTCTAAAATTCTTGCAGCGTGGTGTCGGTATCTTATGATCACGGTGGAATGAATCGTTTTACGAAAGAAGTATAATAATATAATTTTTATTTCAAAACACAATATACGTGAAACATTCTCATTGATATAGAAATATAAAATATTAAGAGAAAAAAAAAATATATATATATATATATTAAGAGTTCTATAATTTTGATTGCAATCAGCCAGTACCAAATTGTAATATAATCACATAATTGTAAAATATTCAGATGTCACTTTTACAGCTAATTTATTTATTATAAATCCCGCTATATTTAAATCTGTCTTAATATATGATATAAAATATCATGTTGTAATTTGATTCTGATGTGATCTCAAATAATCTATATTAAGCAGTCTTATTCATATTTGTAAATCGATTAATTTTTTATTATCATTATCGAATAATTTGCAAAATTTTCTTTAAAAACTTCGGTACAGAGAGAGAGAAAGTTTATGACATTTTATATTTCACTGCTAAGCTTGTCATGTGATATTTTGATATAGCAATAGTATCTTTTTTGTGTGTGTGTGTGTGTGTGTGTGTGTGTGCGCGCGTGCGTACGTGTAAAAGAATCTATCCAACTCACTTGACATTCACCGGACATAATTTTTTTTAATCAATAAACATATTTATGTAATTTTTGAAAATTTTAAATTCAATAAAATAGTATAATTTAATATATATAAACCATTCTATGCATACAGCTATCTATAATTTTGTATATATTAGAAATATGGATTTTCTTGTTACAAATTATACGTATTATTTAAAAAATTTAAATATATCAAAGTATATAATATATAAATATATCAATTATATAAATTATATAAATATATATAATTCGTTAAAAAATTTTTAGATAGATTAATTTATAATATTGATACTTTTTAATTGTATGTTAACAATTTTGGTTATTGTTTATATACATTTTTCGATGTTATATAACTTAATTGTTCTTGAATTATGAAGAGAAAGAGGTAAAGCTTTTCTTAATGTATATTCTTAATCTGCATTTGCTAAAATATTAATTAATACTACTAATATTATATACACAAAAGAATGTTTATTTTGTTAATATATTTATAATAGTGAATGTTTTTGCGCGTACGTATGTTCTCCCCATAAAATGGCATTGTTTCAGACCGCTGTAGAAATTTTTTTTTTTTTTTTTTTTTTTTTTAGTCATAATTTGTCACAATAAGTTAATAAATTAACTGATTTTGTTTTTTTTTATACTTATAATTTGATAAAAATTTTAAAAATATACTTATTTTATATATTAAATATAATACGGACAAAAAATTCCTTTTTAACATATGTACACATATAATTAATATATGCAATGCAAAAGGAATATATCAGCCACTAACACTATTCTTTTACAATTTTATGAAAAAAAATAAGAATAACCTTTATTAATGCAACATGAAACTTGGACTTATTATCTTTATGTGAACTTGTTAGGACTGATGTCATTCATTTTAGATAATAAATAAATAAAATATTCATATAAAGTTTTACATCATTATACAATATTTTTCTTAAATTTACTTCGATTCTCTCTAAATAAGTACGAGGTGTGTACAAAAAATTCGTGCACTGAATTTTATTCTGCCGACGTAGTGACGCTATAAGCTTGTACAATGGTGCAACGTCTCGGGGGAAGCGTCACGTGTTCTTGGTAAAAGGTCGAGTGAGATCTCTGCTTTTCGTTTCTGTTTGTATTAACATACTTTTAGTCGTGTTGGCGGAATGGAACGAGACATTTTAACCAAGCAAAGAACCAACATCAAATTTCTCGTAAAACTTGGTAAAAATGGCCAGGAAATTCTTCAAATGTTGGAAATGGTGTATGGTGAGTCTGCCATGAAGCGTAGAACTATGTATAAATGGGTGGATTCAAGGAGTGAAGGGAGAGCGTCGATGACGACGCACGAGCGGGGCACCCTTCAACATCGCGTGTCGATGAGAACATTCAACGTGTTCACGATTTGGTGAAGGCAGACCGTCGAATTACCACTAGAATGATGCAGAAAAACTTGGAATAAGTAATGGTAGTGTTCAGACAATTTTAAAAGAAAATTTAAACATGTGGAAGCTGTGTGCAAAAATTGTTCCAAAAGTTTTGCCTGATGAGCAAAAACAAAGACGTGTTGACTGTTGCAATGACTGGATCGAAAATGCCCAAGATTCAAATTTTCTCAAAAGAGTGATAACTGGAGACGAATCCTGGATTTATGATCCTGAAACAAAAAGGCAGAGTGAAGAGTGGAAGCACCATGGTTCACCTCACACCAAAAAAGCGCGCAAGAGTCATTCAAAAATCAAGACTTGCTCATAGTTTTTTTCGATATTCGTGGATTTTTCATTATGAATATGTTCCAAAAGATAAATCTATTAATGCAAAATTCTATGTTGAAGTTTTAAAGCATCTGTGTGAACATAGACGACGTATACGACCCGAATTCTGGGCGGAGAATGCATGGATTCTGCATCAGACAATGCACCTTCGCACACTGCGTTCGTTACGCGCGAGTTTTTGGTCAAAAAAAATATCACTACCATAGATCACCCTCCCTATTTACCTTCCCTAGCACCGTGTAATTTTTACCTGTTTCCTAAAAGAAAAAAATATCATGTGGGGTGAACATTTTGTGACTGTTGATTCCATAAAACGAGAAACGACGAAGCTCTTAAAGGAATTACTAACAAAGGAAGATATGCAATACTGCTTTCAGGAATGAAAAAAGCGTTGGTCCAAGTGTATTCTGTCAAGGGGAGAGTACTTCAGAGGTGACACATCCCCGTTACAGAATAATTTAATTTGGATTTTTGATAAACCGAATGCACGAACTTTTTGTACACACCTTGTATGATTATTTTTTACAAATAAAATAGTTTATTTTATCTTAAGTGTATAACGAATTTTCCTAGATGTGAAATTTCATTGTATATATATATATATATATATTCAATTTTCTTAATTTCATCGATTTTAATTCAAAGGTATAAAAATACCCACCATAGTGGAATTAGAAATCATGATCTAATTCCATCATGGTAAAAACAACGAAATAAATGTATACATGTGTATTATAAAAATTGTCAATTACATCCAGAACAAAATGTCAAAATTATTTATGTCAAAATAACATAGTTATCGAATCAATGCTACTAATATAAATTAAAAATTGTAAGTTCAAATATCACAAAATTTTATTTGTTCGATGATATATACACATACGTCAACAATAAATTCTTAGACTTTTTACCAGAAAGATATTTATTTACGATTTTATTATATAACATAATAACAAATCTGAATTATAACATATTTATATTTTTTTATTATAAATCTTGATTGATTTATTTTAATATTTTATTGTAATGAAAGTATATAAACATAGATATAACATTTTTTCTTATTTTATTTTGTGCATGTACGTTCAATTAGAATAAAATATACAAAGCTTATTTTATATTCAGATGGAAGTGATCCCGATAACTCCGCAGATGCTACGTACAGCCGTAAAAGAATTGCAAAAACGTCAATTGTTTGTTAAATTAAAAAATTTAAGAGATCATATACAGAGATATTATCCAGTTGAAACCGATTTAGAAATTCTCGAGCAAGAATTACAAGAAAAACTGAAGTATGCTGTTTGCGTTGGACTGATCGCTAAATATGGAGATGACCAATATTGTATACCAACTTTACGAGAAGAAGCTAATGCTGTTAAAACAGCGATTAGCGCATTCTGGGAAATATATAAAAACGTAACACAATACGTCAACGTTTCTTTTACGTCAACATTTTATTTTTTATGCGACAAAATGCAGCTAACCAATAAAGATCCTTTTATTAATTTAGAACTATCAATTGCTTAATAAGAGAAAGAAAGAATCAGGTATTCCATCGCTACCCCATCAGACACAAAACAAGTATATAAATTCCTCTAAGAATGATGAAACTGATAGCAGTGAAGATTCAGATTTTTTCTGATCTATTTTTTTTAGACATTTTTTTTTTACGATCTGAAATTTATATATATATATATAAATATATATATAAATATATATATATATTTGATGTATAAAAATAATATCTATATAAATTATATAAATTTATGAAATATATAAATAGTAGTAAAGACGCAATTACGCAATTTAATTATAATACAATAAAAGGCCTAATGCCGTATGGTACCAAGTACAGAAAATGAATTGTTTACATCGTAAAATTCTTCGCTGGTGCTTTCTTGTGGTGGATTTTCTTCTTCATGATTTTCTTCGTGTGAAATACATTTCTTTTTTTTATATCTTTTTACTTTTTGCTTCTTACAACTATCGACTTTATTTTCCAGTGCAGTATTAAACAAAAGTTTGACTTTTAATAAAAGTATGTTAAATAGACGCGATAAACTCGGGGAATCTTGCAAAATTAAATTAATATAAGCTTCAACATTGTCACGTTTTTTAAAATTGCTACATAAATTATATAATAATGTACCATTGAATACATTAGCAACTCTAGTTGATTCATAAGGATATCCCAATAATGCATTTAAGTTCATGCTATGCCTCAAACAATTTTGAAACTCTGCAAAACCATGAACAATTGTGATATTAAATTTTTTCGGTTGCAAATGCAGTTTTTGATCTACTTCAAAATTGGATATAAAGAATGGAGCTGCAATTAAGCAGTCGTTAGCATCAACTTCGCGAATGGCATCTGCAAGTGTAGCATCAATTGAATACTGTGGTTGATAATTTCTCATTCTTCTTTCGTGTCGAATATTGTCTACAGTTCTATTAAATCTCTGATAGAATTTGTTTAAGATTCTATAAAACCCTATATTACAATCTATTAAGTTAAATAACAAAGCAAATAATAAAGAATATACATGACAATTGAATTTAGATGGTTCCTCTTGTTGATCAATCCAATACTTCATGGTGACAATATATAACATCCAAATTGATGGAATTTCATTCATATGTTTTGCATTAAAGATTGTCAAAGTGGTATTTAAAATTTCTCTTCTGATGACAATGGATACTTCTCTTAAATTGAGTAAAGGAGGTAGTTTACAACCAAATATATTGTCGCTATACTCCAATTGATAACGCTTTATTTTCTTATTTTCATCTCTGGTAATATATTCCATATTGAACTTCCTTCCTTGAACTCCTGATATCAATAATCCATAAATAACACCTATAATTTTTAAACTTACAACAATAGATGAACTGCAGGAAGAATCTTCAATTTGTGCAGGACAAACATATAACTTCCTTATTATTAAATCTATAAAATAGGAAGGAAATCTACTTTGTTTAAATTCATTAATAAACCACTGAGGTAAATTGTCAACCAAAGATTCATTAGAAATCAACTTCTTTTCTTCAAGTATGTTTGTTATTTCTCTGTCTTCTATTTCCTCCCCATCACTTAGCTCTGTATCATTTGTTCTTTCGTCAATAAATGTCAAATTATATATATCTCCTTCAAATTTATAAATCTTGGACATATTCTGCATATTTGCCCTCGAAAAGATTTCTGCAGGAATATTTAGCGTATGTAATACACTCAATGGTGCATTGATATAACTATTTATTACCGTTTCTATTGTATTTAAAACATGTTTACGTTCTTGTTTTCGTAATCTTCTTAGTATTCCTATAACAGCTTCATTTAAACTGCGTCTTCGTAGCCAATCAAATGTCATGTCTATACGTCGTTGTTGTTCATTGTTATATCTCCTCCTTCCTGATCGTGGCAGATCACGGAAGAAGTTTTTAAACATATGCCGCTTCACATAATCATTTCCTAGTAATACTGCTGCTAAGGGCAATAAAGACTGGTTTAATCCATAATAAACTTGGAAAAGTTTATCAACACAATAAATTTTACAGCGTTTTATGTAACCCCTGCCTGTCGGATTAGGCACTATGTCAGTTTCCAATGTATTGAATGGTATGTATAACGATCCATAAATATAGAAATCAGAATCATAACTCAATACAGGACAATTGAGAATGCGTGCTATCGCAGCTATGGTATTGTCTGCTTCAAATATACACTGCGCATATCTAATGCCTTTTTCTTTCATGATATCTTTGAAGACCTCTCTCATAAGTAAAGGAAGAAATTTGGTCCGGTGCTGAGAAGATAAAGTATAACTTGATGCAATCTCAATCTTCTGTTTAGTTCGAGATATAACTGTTTTCAACTTCTTGTCTTCACAACCACCATCAATCAAAACTAGTGGAGTGATGTTGCATCTTAGGAGTTTATCGAAAAAATCTCTCACACAATGCGCATACTTGTCATAATCACCACCAAAAGCACAATTACATCTCGCATACCAAGTATATAATTGACAACACACACTATTGCCGTCAATTACTAAATAACTGTCATGTAGAGCGTAATATTCGAGATAACGCTCTGAATCATTCGATATATACGTTGTTAGTCCAGGGATACCCATTCTAAAAGTTAATTTTCTTCAGGAAAAGCTATAAATAAAAACTTTATTCAATGAGTTTCTATAAGATAATAAGCATTGATATTTTTAACATTTCTCAAAACTCTTTTTTAGTACTTTATGTAATTAGCTTCCTTATTTTCACTTATTACTTACAATGTGTTTATTTGAGTTTATTTATTTTCTTCTTCTTCTTGCTTAATGGCTTCTGTCTCCATTTATTTATGAATCTAACTTTTATGAAAGAAAATTAGAAAAGAATATGCTCGTTCGGTGGTAACCCAATGGAGTTCCAAAACTTGATTCTGTTAATTCCGAGTATCTGGGGGTTAATTACAAAAGTGAGCAAACTCATTAGAGTAATTCATAATTTAGAGTAATTCATAATTTAATTGGTCAATACCTAGTAATCATTCCTCACTTGTAATTTTCACCTCCTCTCAAAATCTATAATCAATCCCTTGGCCTAGTTTCTATCGAGGGTTTAAACCGAGTATTCCCCTGTTACAATCGAACGACAACGGAATGCTCGACTGTAATTGATTGGTTTTTACATTCTGATCCGGATTAAACCCTCGGTGGAAACTAGACCACTGGTCACCGTGGGCTGCGTTCAGCAGAGCATTTATTTTGCAACTGTTGGAAGTTTTTCTTTGCGCTGATTGGGTAATGCTTTTAGATCAAGAGGAATGATCCTCAGCAGACAATGGCTTAATCCGAGGGTTTAATCCGAATCAGAATGTAAGAACTAATCAACTGCAGTCGAGCATTCCCCTGTCGTTTGACTGACAGGGGAATACTCGACTATAATTGGTTAGTTCTTACATTTTGATCCGGATTAAACCTTCGGTGGAAACTATGCCATTGTTGTGTTCTGCTGAATACTGTCATTGCATATATGTCGGCGAATCTGTCCGGCGATTTTGTCCAGCGAAATTGTCCGGCGAAATTGTCATGATTTTGTTCGAAAATCACCGGACAAATTAAAATTAATTATAAATAACTATAAATTAGAATTAATTATCGGATTAAATATCGGCTTAAACTTTTTATATGCATATGCAAAAATGACGAATTTATAAAAAAAAATTTTAGAAAATTGAATTTGTTATGAATATGACTCTTATTTATATATATATATATGGATAAATATATACATAAGAGATTTACTTATGTGCTACTGTGCGCCTTCCAACAAGCGACACAGTGCGACACAGTGATTATGTCATCTTTGTTTAATAGGCAAATAATAGGGATGTAATAATCTATTGTAATCACACCGTATCAGGATGCTGTTTCATTTGTGCATTTTGTCGTACGACAAATGTGTACAGAACAGAGAATGTACAGTACTCGGATCTCTATCCCATAATCAATCAACAGACTTGAAAAATTTGTTGTACCATGAAATATCATGGTACTTCATGATATTTCATTATTTTTTTTGCCTGATTTTTTTTTTGCTTGTTGAAAGGCACACACTGTTGTCAAAAGTTAGAGCATTTCTAAACTCTCTTTGAAAAGAAAATTTCATCAATTTTATTTATTAATATTATAAATATACAAAAATGTACATTGTTCTAATAACAAATTTTATTTTAATAGTGTACATTCAAAAATAAAATAATTATTTTCAAAATAACATAATTATATGTGTAAAGAATTATGGTTTCGTGTAAAATTACGGTGTCCCAAACTTTTGAGAGGTAGTGTGTATGTTAGATACACACACAGAACAATGATAAAGTACATAAAGCAGCATATGATATAATTAATTTAATAGAAATCTGTACATATATACAGAGACTAGAGATATCTATATATTTTTTAAAAATATTTTTAAAATAATATATTTCTTTTTAAACGTAAGTTATCTTAAACGTGGAATGCATTTTTTGTTAGACTAATCGCGCTGTCTTCATGTTAGTTACAAATTTGCTGAAAAAAAAATTAATAAAATAAATTACTTTATATAATCAAATTATTATCACGAAATTGATATTATAAGATTATATTGATAAATTACTTTAAAAAGTTCTAATTCTCATCAATTCTTACATAATGACTTAATAAAAAATATAAAAGATTAAAAAAAAATCTTTTTCTTTCATCTTGCCTTTTTTTCCTTCCAAATAAATAAAAAAATTCTAATAATTGATATTGTACAATAAATCTTATAGCATAAACGTTGTAGCTAAATAAATATCAGACTTTCAAATTAACGTGCATATTTTCTCATTTGATTCTGTACTTTTTGTACCATGGTTATTCGTAAGCGCCCGATCTCTCTCGTCCCATATAGTAAGGCCGTCGCATGCGCAAATCTTCTTTGTATTTTGAAACAATCCGGATGATCTAGCTATAATACCGCAAGCCAATCTGTGAAGAAAAATTTATAATGTAAAATAATAAACAAACTATCACAAATTATCACAAACTTTGACAATAAGAATCATTTCGTACCTAGCTCCGCTATTTCCATTTATCTTGGACTCTGGATTATTACCTCTTCCAAGATCATCTGGATCCTTAGTAATAATGAGAGATCTGCCAATGACGTCGGATATCTTAAGAAACTTGTCTATCTTCCGAAAAGCAGCTCTGCCAGAAGTGTCAGCTAGAACATTGCCAAGATCACCAACATGCTGTAATGGCAAATAATAAAATTGTTAAAATACCATAAAATTTAACCTTTACCGTGCAAATGGGGGTAATTTTTCAGTCCAGGTTATGAATATTTTGAAAACAAGTGGATGCGAGTGCGCCCAATAAAATATTTAAACAAATAGTCATCTTCATTTATAGTTAAGAAAACTACATGAACTTTTTAATATTTTTTAAAATCATTTAATTCATTAAAAAAAACATGCTAGATATCAATGACCCATGTTTACACTAAATGGGTACTACAAAAACGTTTACACAAGCGTACACAGCAAGCGTTAAGAATTTGTTTAAATTTACCCTTTTGGACAAATCATTTTCGGGGCTACCGTGTGGTGAATTATTTGGATTAAAATGTTCGCCTACGCTGTAATAAAAATACAATTTATTCAAAGTGTCAACCCAAGTATTTACTTTTGCAAGTTTTTTTTTTACCTTTCACAACCATTAGATATATCACCGCATTCATGTACATGCATACCGTGCTCACCAGCAGTCAAACCATCAATTGTACCATCTATGATACATCCCTCTGAAGTTTCTGCAAATCTTATAACCCCTCTGATCAGATTACCTATGCTGTATCCTGAATTTCCACCCAACATCACCACAGCACTTGATCCATCTGTAAAAGATAAGTATCTAATATTAATAATTACAAGTATATGTTAATTTCTAAGATCCACATATACATGTGTGTCTAAATATATGTATATTAAATCTCTTTGTTTTTATACTTTACATATTGTGTGTGTGTGTGTATATATATATATATATATACAGTATAATAGCTCTTTTCGAGAAGTTTTTGACTAATATGATTTATATATATATATATATATAACAAAATTATTTAAACCTCCGTATCCCTTCAACACTGCCTGTCTTCCAGTTCTTTCGATTCTTTCTTGTATGATGGAATAAGGTAGGTTTGTTTCAAGAGTAATAGTGCCACGTTCTAACGATATATCAACATTCCGGATGTCCTCCAGATCTGCTATACTCTTAGAAATTGCATTAACGCATTTCTCGCATGTCATATGTACTGCGAATTCAATCTGTAAAAATAACATATTATAAATTTGACAATATTTCTTTTTTCTGCCAATAATGAGATAAAAGTTAATTTACTTACTTTCGTTGAAGCCATTTGGACGCGGTATTCTTATACCAACGTTGATCAACGTAATAAACAATGATAAAGCAAATTTCTTTATACAATTATACGATCATCAGTCATGTTTCATATTCAGTTTATCTTTTATCTCTTTCTTTCTAATTTGTTATCAATTTTCTAGCAACAAGATCTCCAACAGTTTATTATTTGGCACATCAGGATCTGTTCGCCTTACTTGAAATTCCTAAAAATTTGCACTTAAAATGAGATAGATATATCATATGGTCAAAATTGACAAATATCAATTAGCGTCAATTTTGATTCTTTTTGTCATTGATGATTGAAACGACTGGCTTGAGCGACTCGTGGAAATGTACCTTAATATCAAAGGAACCGAAGCCACAAGCTCGGATATCTGCCGTTGGTGGCGTTGCTCTCCCAAGCCTTCTGTTTCTCTCGCGTACTATCCAATCTCTTGTCTTACTTAACTCCGAAACTGCATACACTTCACGAGGTAATTGACGATAATTGCCACACGCGTCAACTACGTTACGACAAAAATGCGTTATACGTACCAATACGCACGACTAGTTTGTGGTTAGCGTACATATATATACATATTTATATATATCTCGTGTGTACACAACAAGCGGATTGAGTTTGAAAAAGATTTCTGCGTCGTTCCCGTCGGTCCCGCGCGAGTAATCTCGTGCTTCGGACACCGCGGGAACATATTTGGGAAATACGACGAAGATGGACGTACCGCGCTCCTTTGAGATATTTCCAGATAGCTCTTCGCAATAGCGCGACGTGACGAAAGATTACTCTCCTCAATTACCGGTCTTTCTCGGTGAAAGCTCTTTAACGTTGAAACGATTCGTGAGTTGTCGCTTCGAAAATGTCCGTGACCTTTGCACAACGCGGTAGGCCACCTCCAAATCCTGCTCAGATACAAAAGGTAAAGTTGATTGCAGCTTTACAAAAAAAATTATGGTTATTATTACTAGGCCATTTATAACTGAAAGCTGAAACATGAAACATGTTTAAAGATGTAAGTATATAACTATGTATATATATGTGTTTTTTTAGATGCTCGATGAGAATAGCCAGCTTATACAAATGATTCAAGAGTATCAAAACAAAGGCAAAGCACAGGAATGTGTACAGTAAGTAATCAGTGCAATGATTTTGTTTCTTAATATTTCAACGTGTATTATGTGTCTCCTTTTTTATTTCATTGAGAAACGTTTCTTGTGGAATGATATTGTGTAGCAAAAATTAAAAATTTTTTTTTTTATTATTATTGAGATGATAGTCTTAATCTCATACTAAGTTATTTTTCAGTTATATATATCAAGTGTATATCTAAGAGGATTGTTCAATAACTTTTGTTAAGTCAATTTATAAACTTATTAATTTTACCTTTTAGATACCAGCAAATGCTACATCGCAACTTGGTATATTTAGCGTCTATCGCTGATGTAAATCAGAATCTTCAGACTTTATTACCTGTAAGTAGCAGATCCAATAGAATAAACAATATAAAACATAATAAAGTACATTTAATTCAACAAAAACTGTTAAGTTGAATAAAATTTTTATAAAGAATTGCAAAATTGAATTAATTATCTTTTGGTTTCAAGCTACCTCAAGGTATTCCTAATGGTCCTCAACATGGTATGATGAATCCACAAGGGCTTCCAAGTGGTCCAGGTGGTGCAACTGGTCCTGGAGGAGAAATGCCACCAAATACGCAGTCAACAATACCAATGTCGACTTTTAATCAAGGCCAACCAATGGCGCAAGGTTATCGTGGGCCTGTAATGCCTGGCCAAGGACCTACCATAAATAGTATGTTATATTCCAATTTGAATTTTCTATCAAGAGAAATCTTATTCTAATTTAAATTTATATTAAATTATAATTACATGTCAATTTAAAAAAATCTGAAGCATAATTATAACTAACTCTATAGATTATTAGACATTTTAATCTTTTAATATTTATAGGACCTCCAACTGCACCAGGTCCACAGCAATATAGAGGTCCACAAGGTTATCCTCAGCAACCTTCTCAACAAGGTTATCCTGCTCAATACACTGGTCAGAATCCTGGTTCAAACTACCAAGGTCCACAAGGATCTGCATACACTCCGGGTCAACCAAATCAATATGTACCTCCAAACGCTTCTCAACAGCAAGGATATAATGCAGCAACGCAGCCAAATTATGGTCCTCCAACTACAGTAAACAGTTATGGTCCACAACCAGGTGGTTATCCACCACCAGGCACAGCTCAGCCACCTTCAGGATATGGACCACCGCCGCCAAATCAACAAGGCTATCCACCTTCAAATGCCTCACAACAGAATTTCTCATCAGGTAGTCAACAACAACAACCAGGACAATACGGCAGTCCTAGTCCACAACCAAATTATCAGCAGCCTCCGTCCCAAGCGCCACCTCAAAACGCATACGCTGCTGGACAACCCGGAAGTTATCCCCCTCCTTCCTCACAGACATACGCGAACAATGTCCCACCGCAAAATTATCCACCACCTCCAACAACTAGCGCGACTCAACCTCCACAACCTGGATCGCAGCAAAATGCGGGTCCGCAGCCCAATTATGTTAGCCAACCAAGTCCAGGTCCTGGCGCGACACAGTACGGTCCTGCCTCTACATCTCCGCCATTTAGCACCTCCTCCGCGAGCAGCAATACTTATGCCCAAAGTAGTCAGCCGACAAGCACACCATCTGCTTCGACGCAGACATATCCGCCGAATAGCGGTCCGCCACCAACATCGCAGGGCGGAAACTATGCACCCCCAGTGCCACCGACACCCTCTGGATATCCCGTTCATCAAACACCACATCCGACGTCGCATCCCCCGCATCCACCGCCACCGCACACTCAATCACCACATCAACCACCGCACACTCCGCATCAACCACCTCATCAACCAACTCATCAATCATCCCATCAACCACCGCATCAATCACCGCACCAGCCACCGCAACAATCTCAGCAACAGTCGCAAACAGCTCCGCAGACACAACAGCAACCGTCTCAGAGTCCAGCTCCGAGTGGATTTCAACCTCCATCTGGTCCACCACAAGGTCCCGCTCCACCACCAGGCCCTCAACAACAACCTGCCTATGGGCCGACTACTACGCAGACATATGTTCCACCGACTCCAGGAGGACAACCACAGGTATTGTTCGAGTAACTTGACTATATTGACATAGATGATTAGTTTTGAATTTATTGTTTCATGGCAATTGTGTAATGCGTGCGTGCGTGCGTGCCTGCCTGCGTGTATGTGTGTGCGCGCGCGCGCGCGCGCACTGTGTGTGTGTGAAATTTTATAGTTTTTATAATCTTATACAATTTTTTATGTATAATAAGAACACTTTATCTTCTCTGTCTTAAATTATTTGTGTTTGAAAATATCTATGAAAAATTATAATACATGTAGAAGAAGATAAAACATAAATTTATTACTAATATTGAAAATTATTGAGAGCATTCTGAATTGCAGATTTATAGTCCTCATCCACCACAAGGAGGACAACACTATGGGCATCCTCAATATCCTCCTCAAAGTTATCCTCCACCGCCTGCAGGGCAAGGATATCCACAATATCCACCACGACCACCTGGTGGCCACATGCCTCCTCCACCTGGACCACAAGGACCTCCTCCACCTAATCAATATGGAGGTTATGGTTATCAACCACCCACACAATAAATACATCAATAACTCCCAAATTTACATAAAATTTAGATTATTACGGATATTGAAAATATTTTTGTTTACATTTTTAGTTATTTTACTATGAGTATTTTCATAATGTAAATACTTCACAATATTTATTTAGGTATTATGAATATCTATATTATATAATATTCATAATATTTAAGTATTTTGAATATATGAATAGTTTAGAATATTCTCTCAACAAAGAATGAGATTAGAATTAAAAAATAATTATGTAAAGAACTTAATTTAATTTAATCTTATGCATTAGATTGATAATAAGAAAAAATTTAGGACAAAATTATATATAAATTATAGATGATGTTCCATGAAAGGACTATTCGTTGGATTTACATTGTTTACAATTCTTTTAACAATCTTCAGTATTTATATACATATATTTTTCCATATGTGGTGATATAAATAATTTATGTATAATTTTGTTTTACATTATGTTCGTATATACTATGTCAGAGTAATAAATATTATTATTATTATTATTATTAGATATAGATCTTGGAAATAAATATGCCAAAATATTCCAAATGGCTTTTAACTCTTGTGGCGAAATTTCTAATACGAAAAACATAAATTATAGCACATAAGAACATTTAGGTTTTTGTATAATTTGTTTTATTTTTACAAATTAGAAAATAGTATTGATATTTGTCACAGACTTACTTTATTAAATTTCTTCATTAAATTTTTTACATTTACTTTTGTTATTTTTGCTTATATTAAAGATGATAAAAATTCTATTTTTATCACAAATATATATGTAATTTTTTATTAAGCATAAACAAATTGAAAGTCATAGAAATTGAAAGAATTATGTAACTATATATGCAATGGTACAAATACCATATAGGAGTATATATATGAATGTTTATTCTTTATTTGTAGGTACTACTCTTAATTGAGAGATAAGGAAATATTTAATTTCCGAAATGAATATGAATATAAATTTTCCATATTAAATATTATTTGCAGTAGAATTCGCGATACAATTGAAGAGAGAATATCACAAATCTCGCCACGCCTTGTATTTATCCCATAAATATTTTTTGAAAAAGATGTTGATAATTGTACAAATGACGTATCTTATTCAAGTTCTTGCGACATAACATTAGATTAAATAAACAAAAAAATATAAAAATATATAAAATGATATATATAGAAAAATAGCTGAGACAGGTTGTATAATACAAGCATTGTAAAAGAGAAGATTATTAAATATTAGACAACTATCTTGTTTTTCAAGTTCAGGCTTATGTTTCTTTTTATTTTTGACATAAACAATTAGCTATAAAATCTTAGTAAACAGATTGTGCATTTTTGTGCACCTATAATAGATGATACATGTATGGTAATGTGTTAAATTTTCATTATATAAATAAATCATAGAAAAAAATGATGTTAAAAAAAATTGTTCAAAACTACAATTCCTCTCGAAGGTTTAAATTTTTAAAATGACATTGACAAGAATGACTAGGTTGTGGTACTTCTTCCATGTTATTTAATACTTCAACTTTACTCTTTAAGCGTTTACTCCATTCCTGAAATATAAAAAATTATATTATTTGACAAAGATATATATCCAAGAAAAATATATAAAATAAAACTTTTTCCCATACATGAAATAAAACTGTATAGTAACATAATATATCACGTGGTAATAAATTATCCCTGGTAAA